GCACAGTGGGATTGTGTTCCATAGGGTTTTCGATGGCTGATGACTTGGAAGTTGACCACCGAGCCTTTCTTTCGAGGTGCCTCTGACTCGAACCTCCGATCCTTCTGTCGCAGGCAAGCACATGAACCTTTAGCATCACCAAGGGACTTTCATTGTCTTTCCCATATCATCACTCACTATCTGAAAGGACCTTATTACCACAGTATCACTAAACCCCCAAAGCTCAGTTCATGGCTTTGAGTGAGTGTGAGTGGTGGCTGAGTGGATTGAAAGTTGGGTTGCTAACTACAAGGTCAGCAGTTTGAAACCCCCAGGTACTCAGGAGGAGACAAAGGAGGCATCCTGCTCCTGTAAAGACTTACAAGTAAATCTGCTGTAGAAGACCTCTTTAGAGTACTGAAAAGCAAGGAAGGACGTTACTTTGAGGACTCAGGTGCACCTGACTGAAGCCATGGTATTCTTGATGGCCTCATATGCATATGAAAGTTGGACATTGATTAAAAAAGACCAAAAAAGAAGTGATGCATTTGAATTGCAGTGCTGGAAAAGATGGTTCAAAACACCATGGACTGCTAAAAAGACAAACCCATCTGTCTGGGAAGAAGTAAGGCCAGAGTGCTCCTTTGAGGCAAGGATGGGAGACTTCATCTTGCATACTTTGGACATGTGGTCAGGAGAGGCCAGTCTCTGAAGAAGGACCTCCGACCTGGTAGAGGGGCAGCGAAAAAGAGGAGGGTCTCAATGCAACGCATTGACCTAGTGGCTGCACAATAGGCACAAGCACCGGGGCAATGGCGAGGATGGCATAGGACCAGGCAGTGTTTCATTCTGCCGTGCAGAAGATCGCTATGGGTCGGAAGGGACTCGATGTGACCTAACAACAATAACAATAACGGCAACTAAGATGTACAGCTTTAGAAACTCCCAGTGGCAGTTCTACTCTGTTCTATAGGATCTGGTTTTGGATCCCGGGTGGAACCATGGTGGCACTATTGGGTAAGCATTGGACTTCAAACTATAAGGTCAGTTGTTCAAAACTCACAATCCACTTCTTGAGAGAAAGATGAGGCTATCTGTTCCCTTAAAGATTTGCAGCGTTGGACACTGTGGTAGTGACACAATTAATTTCACGTCAACTTGATAAAAAAAAGAGAGGTCGTGTCTAGCCTGTCAATCAGGTCAAAGTCTGATGACTCCTCCCTGTGGGCGTGGCCTTCTCATGAGAATTCTGGGAGTTTCCTCTCTTCTTCCCTGGAGGCGGGGCATACTCTCTGCTTTGCCTTTCTGTTGACAAGCCACATGGAGCTAGGCTGATGGCAGTCAGAACCCTGGGGATGTTGCCACTGCCTTTGGATCCACAAGACCTTTCAGCCACCAGCCTGTGATCTTCCTGCTTTCAGCATCATCGCATGTGCTGCGTGAGTCTAAAGAGGAAATTATGGACTAGTATTGGACACATGGGCTAATATTGAACTTATGAACTTGATCTGGGCTGGGGTGGGAGGTTTTTTCAATATCTAATTGCTCTTTGATATAATGCTATTGCTTAGAAATATATGAATGTCTCTGGATTTGTTTCTCTACTTAACCCCACACAGCCACCCTGTCTTCAGTCACTATGAGTTGGAAAGAACTGGGTGACAGTGGGTGGGTATCCTGGTTTTGTAAGTTGACTGAGTTCAGCTAGACAGTTTTGGGGTCTCTCATAGGATTATATGAGGTAGCCCCCCAAACCGTAATTGCACTGGGGATAGCAGAGCTTTGTAGTATGAATTTTTCCTGCTGGGCACACATCAAGCAACTGTCTCCGAGTTAGTACACCCAGTGGTATCGCCTGGGAAGGTTCTCTCTGGTCACAGTGAATTTTTTTCATAAAAGGAATTTCACTCAAACCTTGTGATGCTGATTTAAGGAACAGTGTGCAGTTGTGAAATTTTGTTTCCTGGTTGGGAAAAATGCCAGCCAAACTGTTGGGATGTGGAATACAGCTTACAAGGACAGCGCCATGGGGAAAACTCAAGTGTACGAGTGGTTTTCTTGTTTCAAAAAAGGTGAAATGTCCATAAATGAGAAACCTCATTGTGGATGTCTGTCAATTTCCCAAACGGAGAAAAATGTTGACTGATAGAGTATCTGGAGTTCATTCCACCAGATCGGAGTGTTAATCAAGCTTTTTATTTAGAGGGTCTGAAAAGATTGTGTAACAGTGTGCGACAAAAAAGCCTGATTTGTAGCAGATGGGGGCCTGGCTTTGCCACCACGACACACTTCATGCCTCTCTTGCCTCACGCATCTGACTCGCCTGACCTGGCTCCATGAGATGTCTTTTTGTTTCTGCCAATGAAGAGGGACATGAAAGGAGAATGCAGAAGAGGAGAAGAAAACATGAGGGTGGTGCTGTCAGCCATCCAGACAGATGAGTTTGAAAAAATATTTCCAAGAAAGGAATCGCAGATTTGACAAACGTATCAAGTGTAATGGAGAGTACGTTGAGTGTGAGTTGTTTTGTAAAAAAAAAAAAAAATTAAATACATAGCTTGGAAAAAAAGGTGGGGTGGGGTGGATTCCAGGCTTTTTTTTCCGTACCTCTCATAGTTAAATAGCATCTAGGGTTGGAGTCATCTAAAGGCTTTTCTGGGTTGAATGTCTGAGGTTTATTCCTCCCTCACTTACCTGGCTGCTCAACGCTCCTCCAAGTGGCCTCCCAGGTGGTCTCACTCTTCGCCAGAGCAGCTGGGGCTTCTGAGATGGTAGCTCATGCTGCCAGGAGTGGGACACTCCGAGTCACCTTTACATGCAACCTGGTTCTGGCATACCTTCTCACAACTCACTTGGTCACATCAGTTCTAACCCTACTCAGGGTCAAAGGGAGTAAGGAATAAATCCTGCCTCTTAAAGAGAAAGTGATATGAAAGTAAAAGGAGGGAAAGAATTGATGGTGGCCATCTTTACCAATAAGCTATCATATTTATTGGGAGAAAGATGAGGCTTTCTACTCCTTTAAGGAGTCATGGTCTTGGGAACCCACAGGGGAGATTCTATCGTGTCCTATCGGGCTGTTATGAGTTAACATGGACTCGATGGCAGCGAGTTTGGTTAGGTTTTCATTTTTATCATATTTTCTTGTTTATGTATTTGTTATTATCTATTCCCATTAGATTATCAGCTCCATGGACTAAGGGCCTTGTCTATCTTGATTTTTGGTTCTATTTCCAGCCCTTAGGACAATACCTGACACATAGTAGGTCCTTAGTGAATAATAACTTGATCCATGTTTGAAATGATAAAAGAAACTGAACGGAATGTCCCCAGATCAATCTTACCAGGTTTCCTGGTGCTAAATATGCTGAAACCTCTACATTTATCAAGTCAGAGACTCTGCATTTATATTTTCTCTACAAGTCAGAGACTCTACATTTATATTTTCTCTCTTCTGCAGACAAGAAAACTTTCCCTGAACACAAAATCTAGAAATGGGTTTGGCATGTTTTCTGAGTGGAAAATACCTCTTTTATTACCAGAAATTATTTTCCCACAGCTTTGTGTTATTTCAAGATACTGAAGTTGCCTGAAGACACCTCATTCTTTTTTCTTGATGTGGGCATGAAACCTCTTACATTCTTTTTTTAGCAAAGAAAATATAACAACCTCCTAATGTTTGAACTTCTTCAAAATATCCTGTAGCTGAAAATGCCAGTACACGTTAAGATAGGTTTTTTTAAGATAACTACTGAGAAATTAATTTAAAATCTAGTTATCAGATGTGGCCATTGGCTGTCAAGTCAACACTTGCTTATCTAAGTAATTATATACAACCAGATGCAAGAGCAGAAATCCCCTCTAGTTTCCATTTGCTAGTCTGAACCGTCTGGCAGTTCCCTTATAAATTAGCATGAACAATTCATCTGAAGGATTTTAGTGACTTTTTTTTATGTGTTACAATTTCAGGAAGCTGATATTTAAATTACTTCTAACCTTTGTTTTGTTTTATCTTTAGTTTTCCCGGATTTGCTCAAAGCGATCCCAGTGAGCATCCACGCCAATGTCATTCTCTTCTCTACGATTCTTACCCTTCTCACCATGGTGGGGACAGCCTTCTTCATGTACAATGCTTTTGGCAAGCCCTTTGAAACTCTGCACGGTCCACTAGGACTATATCTCTTGAGTTTCATTTCCGGTAAGTACAAAATCCATCAGAGTCCAGCTGTAAATCATAAGGCACTCTCTAGCCAAGGAAATATAATCAATGGCGGTTCTCAGACCAGCAGCATCTGGGGAAAAGCAAATACTCAGGCTCCATCCTAAACCTGGAATTCCTGGACAGCGTCAAAGTGTACCCAGTAACCAACCAAAAGATTGGCATTTCAAGTTCACCCAGAGGTACTTGTCCGAAAGTCCTGGTGACCTGCTTCCAATGACTCAGAGTCAATGAGACAGCGACTGTTGATCCTAGACCAAGGGTCGGCAAACTTTTGAGACAGAAGAGCCACTCCTGTCCCTCACGACAATTTAAACATTATTCCAGAGCCGGAAAGATATTTTGACCAACAAATGAAATCACCCTTATCTGAATAATATCCTTAACATTTTTTATCAGTGGAACTATGATAGTTTTATTTGCATTTTCAATTTTATTTCAGAGACAAATGTATGGACCAAAGAGCCGAGTATGGTTTCAGAGTCGATGTTTGTCGACCCCTGCCCTAACCTCCCCGCGCCCCCCCAAAACCAGAACCACCCTCCCTGCCATCTCACCAGTTCTGCCTCAGTCACCCTATAGGACTGTGGGTTTCCGAGGGTGGACATCTTTACAGGAGCAGAAAGCTTCATCTTTCTCCCATGGGGCAGCTGGTGGGGTGACTCTCCCATGGGGCAGCTGGTGGGATGACTCTGCGGACCTCGTAGTGGGCAGCCCAGTGGTCACCCACTAGGCCACCAGGGCTCCTTATGCAATCCCAGAGTCTCTGATGGAGAGATGAGCAATCTCCTAAGTGCTGTAGGACATTGATTCAATTACATTGCTGTTGGAGGCCTAGAGGGAGGAAGGGGTTAGATTCTGAGCTAACTCGGGGATAGTTCTTTCCTAAAGCAGTGACCGTCCCTAGAGTGTGGGGAATTGTCTTCGTCTGGGTAGACTAGAGAAACCAATCCATGGACACACATATGTGTATAAGAAAGAGATTTCTATACAATAGCAATTGAACATTGAGAAAACATCCCAGATCAAATCTGTAAGTCTGATATTAGCCCATATGTCCGATACCAGTCTATAAAGTCCACTTCAGACTCACAAAACACATGCAATGACGCTGAATGTAGAAGATCACAGGCCAGTGAGTAGAAAGTCTTTGGATCCAGTGTCATCGGAAACATCTCAGAGCTGGCAGGGGTCTCTGTGTTAGGGTGGGTCCATGTGTCTTATCAGCTGCTATGTCTCCCAGGGTGTGAGCAGAGTCTCCCACCTGTAAGGAGGAAATACTGGAATTCCCAGAGTCCTTAGGGGAAGGCTATGCCCACACAGAAGCCTCATTGGCTATGACCTGATTGACAGACTAAACTCCACCCTTACACGCTTAATCCTTACATTGACAGTTATATAACCACCACAGGAACAAAGGGGCGAATTTCAATGACCAGAGCCTGGAAACTTGAGGAGAGGTCCTTCCCCGGAGCTGGGTCCCAGACCTTTGAGGAGAGGGCACAACCCAGCTGCTGTGGGCCCCTCTGGTGGGGCCAGGTGTCCCCATGCGCTGTCCTGGGAATGTGGAAAGGAGAAGGAAACTTCCTAGCTGCCTTGCCCCAAAGTGCCCTTGCTGTAACATTGTCAGAAAGAGCAAGCAAAGAGGAAGAAGTGGACCACTCTCTCCTCGCTTGCCGTTTGGAAAAGGCTTGTGGAGGAGCTGATGGAGCAGAACTCGAGTGGGCAGAGTCCTCGGGCAGCATCTCAAGGCTGAGAAAAGAACGGACGAGCGAAGAGGCCACTTAGGAGCTGACACGGCCAGGGAGCGCTCCCTTTCTGAGAACAGAACTAGAGCACAGCCCATTTGGAAGGCAAATTATCGGGCAGTTCTGACAGGTGACCAAACTAGCGGTATTTGAAAACCAAGATGAACGTAGAATGTAATCCAGCCTACCCGGTCTTATCTCCATCTTTGGCCAAGTCTGAGGAAAGGGGAACCTGAGCCCATGAACATATACAGGAGCAAACAGACCTTGTGTTTATGCGATCATATTCCTCCAGGGCTCGGGACAAATGCAGGGGACCCAAAGGGTTTGTGGATAAGGCTAGGGGGCGGAGAGAGAAAGAGGGAGAGAGAGAGAGAGAGAGAGAGAGAGAGAGAGAGAGAGAGAGGGAGGGAGGGAGGGAGGGAGGGAGGAAGGAAGGAAGGAAGGAAGGAAGGAAGGAAGGAAGGAAGGAAGGAAGAAGTTCCACCTCAGGGTCCTGCAGAGGATGAAGGCCCAGTGTTTCCAAACCACCCAGTTTGTCTGGGCTTGTTGTTGTTGTTGTTGTTGTTGTTGTTGTTATTGCTGTTGTTTTTAAGACTCAAACCTTATGTTTAAATACCAAAATTTTCAATAATTGAAAAACAACTGTGCATGACCACAGGCATATTTGAGGAATCATGTAGAGTCGTGTCCTGGGATTTGGGGTCCCCTGGGGATATCATTGGTTGACCCCCGAATCACAGGGGAGTTTTGGAAATGATATGTAAAGTTGAAAAATGCCTCTGGACCTCAGCACTGAACCCTAGTGGTGGGCAAAGTGTGTATGTGGGGGCTGGGGAAGCTGGCGGTTAGTGCCCTTATCACAAGAAAACAAAAACCAAGCCCCTTACTGTTGCGTTGAATCCAAACCATCGTGGCTGCATGTGTTATAGGATAGAGCTTATCTGTAGGTTTTGCTTGGTTGTAATCTCAAAAGAACAAGTCTCCATCCCACAAAGCAGCTGGGTAGGTTTGAAGAGCAACCTTTAGGTGATGGCAAATAACTTGTGCTACACAGCGACACACCTTTACACTCTAAATGGGAGTCAATAGGTGCAATACAGAGAGGCCAGTCCTCTAACTCAGGTGTAAATTATATTCCATTGGAGACCTCGGGGTGGGGGTGGGGGTAGCTCTCTTCTCCTGGGCTTTGCAGCCCCATGACTTTCACCTGTGCGTGCTGTCCAGGTGGACTCGGTTTCAGAGAACCTCTTTCCCCCTTGCCCCTCCTTTCTATCTATCCACAGGCTTCCTGGGATCCCCACTTGCCTTGTGCTGATTTCATTCCAGAGATATTTCTTCCCGCCTCCTTGCTGAACAAAGAACCAGGGCTTAGCATCCTCAGGCGTGAACAAGGTGTGAAAGGGTATATCACGGTCACCCAGTTGACTGTCTTCCACACTGTTCTGAGTCACAGTACCCTGGCCATGCCCCTCGGTCTCCTGGTGTGGAAGGTGCCAGCCTGGAGGTGGAAAAGGAATGAGAACAAGCCGGTGGATCTGGCCAGTAGCAACGGCAGGCACCCTAGCCTGTTCATGCTTCTGGTTGAGATGCTGCTGCTCCCCGGAACAGACACCCCTATATTTCTTAGGGTCTCAGAGCCCCACATTGAGCTCATCTTCCTTGGCCTCCTTCATGCAGCATTTGCTCGTTCCCATCCTGTTACCCATCACCTGAGTCTGAGTAGTCTTTTTTTAAAGTTAGGGCAGCGTGAGGACCTTTATGGTGTCCCATCGTTCATTTGGGGCAGGGGGTCTCCTCAGTGCATTAAAATCCCATGAAGAGCTTTCCAAAAATACGGGTGCCAGTCCTGACCACGCTAAACCAGGAGTGCGGCCGGAACACCCACAGTTTTTGAAAGGAGCGGTCGGCGTTGAGAACCCCTGAGAGGCACGCATCCATTTCATTCATTTCGCAAACCTGGTGATGGCTCTTCACGAGCAGGAATCAACTCTACTGCAGCGAGTGTGGATTTAGGAATTTACGTGCCAATCCTGATGAGAGCTATTGGTGATACCAACGGAATCAATGTCCAAGGTCCCTGCCTTCATGGAGCTTACAACCTACGAGGAGAGCTTTATTACTATTATTAAAAGATCATTTTATTGGGTGCTCTTATAGGCCTTAGAACAATCCACACATCCATTGTATCAAGCATATTTGCACATGCGTTGCCAATCATTCTTTTCTAAACATTTGCTTTCCATTTGAGCCCTTGGTATCAGCTCCTCTTTTTCCCCTCCCCACCTCACCCTTGTGACCCCTTGATAAATTATTACTATTTTCATATCTTACACGGACTACTCTCTCCCTTCCTCCATGGCTTCTGTTGTTCGTCCCCCTGGCAGGTGTGTGTGTGTGTGTGTGTGTGTGTGTGTGTTTATGTGTAAGTCATTGTGATCAGTTCCCCCTTCCTCCTCTCCCCATCTTTCTCCTACCCTTGTGGTATCCCTATCCCTATCCCTATTCCTGTTCCTGGATTCCATGTGCCGTGAGCTCTTATCTCTTATCTGTACCTGTGCATTGCTCTGGTATAGCCCGCAGTGAAAGGCAGGACTAGGGTCATGATAGTGGGTAGTGAGAAAATCTCAAGGAACCAGAGGAATATTGTGTGTTTCCTCAGTGCTCTATTGTGCCCTGGTTGACTCAGCCCTTCCTTGTGACCCTTCTGTGAGGGGATGTCCCATTGTCTAGAGATGGGTTTTGGGTCTCTGCTCCAGCCTCCCTCATTCTCAACAATATGGTTTTTGTTGTTGTTTGTTTGTTTGTTTTGGGCCTTCTGATGCATGTTACCTGATCCCATCGACACCTCATGATTGCACAGACTAGTGTGCTTCTTCCATGTGGCCTTGCTACTTCTTTGCTAGATGGCAGCTTGTTTAACTTCAAGCCTTAAGCAGGCACCATCCGCTTTCTTCACCACATTCGCTATGCACCCAGTTTGTCTTCAGCAATTGTGCCGGGAGGGTGAGCATCACACATGCCAGGTTGTTAGAACAAAGTGTTCTTACATTGAGGGAAGGCATGTGCAGAGGCCTGGAGTCCATCCACTACCTCAATGTATTGCCTTATAAATATATGTGCATAGGCCAATACCTCTATTTTTATGAATTAATGTATTTACATATGTACACACCTATGTTTATACCTCTATTCATAGCTTTGTTTCCTAAATATTTCCTCTGTTTCCTT